TAGCCACTGAGAAGCCCTTAACCTTTAACTTTAAACAGAATACCAAACGTACAAAAACGTACATGACACTGTATTGACACACAACTGAAGGGATTTCAAATTAGCGACTTGGGTAATATGGGAATTGGGATATTTTTTTTTATTAATTATTTGTACTGATTGCCGAAGATACATACTTTGTAGTGTAGTACATGAAACCGTACAGAAATCAATTCGTACACGAAAGAGTGTATCAAATGAACCTGACAAGCTTTACGAGTAAATATATTGCGCGCAGTCTGGCGAACCATGACAAATATGAATCGCACGAAGCATACAGTACATTGATTGACGTAGCTAAATGGAATTTTCAGGGAACCATTTTTGTATTTATTTTTCCGTTCACATGAGAGTGGACTTTAAAAACAAAACAATTTGTCATAAAACATGTGTTGCTCTAATACACAAAGAGGAAATATTATTTTGAGAGACATATTTAAAATTCTGTTTGATTAATAGAAAACGGAAAAAAAAATTTCTTAAATCGTATTTTTATTAAAGAAAAGGTTTACTGTTGTTTATTGACACGCAGTTTCTATATCATAATTAACTTATTAGTATGTCCCACTAATGGACACGGGTTTCCTCTTAGGCGAGCGGGTTGGGGACTTCACAACACACGTTTGTCGAGGATTGTGAACCTTCTCCGACCAGGCTTCTAAGACATGCAACACGATTTTTTGATTTATCGAAAAATTTATAGTAAATTTGAAAAATAAAATACACATAAATTCAGAGAAACTCAGAGGTGCGAGCCCGGATTCATACCCACGGCTTCTCCTTGAGAGGCGGTAGGTCCAAACCCTTAGGTTACCAAGGGTTGTCTTGTCTAGGTCAATTGCAAGAAAACAATAAGATAAAAAACCTCGGTAACATACACGTCAATTAAATAAACATTCTAACCCGACTTGCAAATTAAAAGTTATGACATCTTTATGTTCAAGAGTGTACATGCCACTGCGGTGGAACTGTGTATCGTTTTCACCTACTTCATTTCACCCCCTCTGCCTACCCCGGACCGGAGGTAGCTGTCACTACTGTGTTGAATTTTCTGACAGACGCCCCAGTTCTACGTTAACTTACGTTTCCTAAGTTATTTGTGTCATAGTTTCTCCCAGGCATTTTATATGAAAGGCACATACATCAATTAAACATAAAATAAAATATAATCGGTTTTATTTGACATGTGTATACAAAATAAATTACAAACACAATATGGAATAGATTATATTAAATGCTTCTAATTTTTGTTCATGTCCAATTGTTATGTTTGTGAATAAAAACAAATTATGTTATTATAGGAAATTACATAAATCCTTCATAAATACACAAAAAACAACAATAATAGAAAACAAAGAAAAAATATACATACAGCGTGTTTTTTTTAATGCAACAGTGTAGGGAAATCTGCAACCATAGAAGATACAAGGAAACTGTCTTAGGAACCATTCAGTCGTTTTTTAAGCGACTTCAAAAAAGGAGGATGTTCTCAATTCGAGTGTATGTTTTTTGTTTTTTTTTGTATGCATGTAACGCGATAACTCCGGTATTTGTGAACCGATTTTCATGATTCTTTTTTTGTTGGAAAGGGGGTACGTCCATAGTGGTCCTATTTCATTTTGAAGGAAATCATCCACCTGTAAGGGTAGTCACCCTTACAGGTGGATGATGGAGGATGGAGGTTCACGCATGAAGATTCATTTTTATAAATAGCGCCTAAATTTTCTTGAGGAGCAATTATTTTGATGGTTGATTTTGCTATTTCTCCAATGCAAGGCACTTTTATCTCAATATTCTTTGGGTAGTGAGAACCGATTTTGTTACCTCCAGTGTCAAGTCCTGTATAGTGGCGAATTTAAGGATATTTAAATAAAACTTAGCGAATAGACGTAATTCCACGTACATTTGAGGTCGGTTTTTTAGTACTCTGTACTGAGATTATTGTGAAAACAATTTTGGCATTGTAATTTTTTTTGGTCAAGCGTGAGTTGTCCATAAAAACGAATAAAATTGATCAAGATTCTTTTTTTGTGCTGATTGACTCAGTTTCATGTAAGGATCATTTCATTGATCACGGATCATTTAACTGCCTCCGTAGCCGAATGGTTACCATGCTGGACTGCCACGCAGAGGTCCCAGGTTCGATTCCCGGGCCGGGAGAAATAGTTGTGTGGCCTAAAATTATTTCTCTCGTGAGTTTGGGTGTAATTTGTGGTTGTCTATGTGTGTGTCCATGGCACCCGCGACACAGGGTTTCCTTAGTGCGGGGCTATGTTGAGGGTGTGCGTTATTTATTTATTATTATTATTATTATTATTGTATGGGGCGAAAAAATCGGGATAGCAGGAGTTAGTCAAATTTCCTAAAATAATTTTTCATACAAAATGAATAAAGTTGACTTATTTCTTGTAATGCTAATAGACTCAGTTTCTTATATGGATGCCTTCATTGTATCGGAATAAAAAATGAGACTGCAGAAGTTGATCAAATTGAATTTAAAAAAATATTTCATACAAAATTAACAACGTTTTTAAAAATTAACTTCGGTGTCTCGCTATTAAATTAGTTAGATACGTAGTAAAAATCTAAGATAAATAATTTCGAGGGTGTTGGCTGTGACTATGTCAATAAGAATATCTTCTTTTTTAATTTAGTACTGCCTAAAGAACAAACATTTTTCGAGTCAACTAAAGGCTCCAAGAAACTTTTTCGTGTATTAACGATATTTTGTGATTCTATACAAGCGAAGAGTGTAAATACGACGAAAACCAGGAACACAATTTTTTATAGCACCCTACACTACAGCCATTTTCTTCTACATTTCAAGAAGCAGGTACGCTAGAACTTTTAAGTTTGTTCTCAAATGAAAGGTCTAGACGACATCTACTCACTTGTCAAGAACAAACACAATATCTAAATGATCAATCATGCCTTTGTCCTTAACCGAGAGCCCTCCCACCATAGGGCTTACACCGATGAAGATCAAAAGGTCAGACGCTAAAATAAAACAGATAATTAAAAGAAAAGCTTCCAGTTAGAACAACTCCTTTATTTGAAAGTAAATCTTTGTAAGTAATCTTTACTTACTAAATCATTTGAATGTCCAAGAAATTCATGAGCAATTTTAAGAACGTTCTTGTATATTTTGTCCCTAATATGCTTTTCACTGAAGGCTTCTCATGTTACACCTCTTTAGGAGTTTACGGTTTCCGAGTAATTCGCATTTGACTACAAGTTTATACCTCTTCAAGAGTATAAGCTTTTATGATTCTGCGTCCGTAATTAACGGACTCTTTTTAACCGATTTCAAAAAAAGGAGGAGGTTCTGAATTCGACTGTATGTTTTTGTTCGTATGTATGTTACACGATAACTCCGGCAATTGTGAACCGATTTTGATGATTCCTATTTTGTTGGAAAGACGGTACCTTGGTGGTTGAAAAAATAATCCACATGTAAGGGTGGCTAACTAGAGGAAGCTTCCAATTTCGTACACTTTCCGGTAACTGATTCCAACAAAACTTGGCAAATAGATGTAATTCGATGAACTTTTGAGATCGGATTTTGTTATATGTTAACTTCTCTTTTATGATAAAAAAGTAATGGGACGAACAAGTCGTGCGCCTGCAGCAACATACCTTTTTTTTTTTTTGCCACATACCTGCCTAAGGTGCAATGCCACTCAGAAGTTTAAATCGCAAAAATCTAAGGTGCGCTTCCACTGTGCCTGTCACCCTAACACATAAGTTGACAAGTCCCACGTGCTTGTAATTTCACCAGCCGTTATCCTTCAAAACTGGAACGCTATGATGCTGACATTACTGCTTGGCAGTAGAAATAGGTAAGGTGGCTGTACTTTCCTGGACGAACTCTTTCACAAGAAGCTCTACTGATACTAAATTAAAACATATATGTATTACAGTAAGTTTCGATAACTATCGGTATGGTTGCAATAGTATATTTTAGCTGTGTCAATAGACAAAAGATCAAATTAAAGGTCTAATTAATAAGTTTATTCCAACCTCGAGCACTGAGGAAACGGCCTCACTGACGTCGAAGTTATTCGTCGCTCCTCTACAAGGATAATGCATTTGAACTTGCATTTGGCGTGTAGGTATACAAATACCGAAAAACAAAAGTAAATCTAATAAAGGATTCTTAACGTAACTGCATGCTACTTTGTTAATAATTAGGATATTGGTTTCGTTGATATGTTGTCTTTATGTTGTTTAATATCACCCATAAAATTCCAAACGCCCTTTTTGAACACACTGTGTATGTATATGACACGACATCATAATCAGAAAGCAAAGCTAAACACATTGTTAGCTGTGGGCATCGAGTAGGTGGGACAATGACCCAACTCCCTTTGATTTCGTCACTTATTCATGCAAGATAATGTTGTGATGTCTTGATTCCTGCGCTTGAATGACGTTTCCTCCCATTTTAAGATCATCACCATAGTCGGACTCAGGAAACTATGTTTCTATGAATATATTTTCAAAATAAATATAGAACTAATCTAGGTTCTTAGCGCGTGAACTAGAACGAACACATCTTTTGCTTTATGGGTAAAATATAATCTAATTTTGCGCTGTCGCTCTCATAACCTTTAGGAAGACTTAATATATAAAAGGAGTACATAAATATCTAAACAACTCATTTACTGTAATTGATAAAAAAAAGAAAATTCCTCCGATCCAACTGAACTCTAACCAGTGTCTATTTGCCAAACCGAGGCTACCGGTCTTTCAACTAAGCTAGTCGACCAAGTCGTGTCAGCCGACCTTACGAATATGTGCTAATTGCAGATCTCTTTCTTTGTATTCGTTCGATTTTTAATTAAATTTTTAATAACGAACTAATGGACTATTTCACAAAAAATAATATTAGGGCTGCAAAAATTATGACATTCACGTTTATTTACTTTTATTTATATTGCCTTTTTATTTTTTCTTTCCAGATATGCAATTCCCGATAGATGTGTCCGGCGTCCAAAACGATCACCCCTTTCTGGATGCAGACTCTTTGCAATCTCTATTCAGACGTTTAACGGCACTCAACCGCTGCGCCACAATGAAATTAGAACATCACCATCACCAAAAAAGAAATGTGAGTATATAGTATTCTTACGTCATTATTTCAGCAGTATCTTACAAAACTCGTTACTACACCTCAACAACGAAAAATACTCATAATTAAAGGATTTTACTTATGATGCATTTTTGGGTCGAAGTCATCTCGAAGAGAGATTGTTTGAGACGTTGCTTGGAGATACAGATAGATTGCGATCTTCGCCTTTGCCCTTGCAAAATGCAATAAATATCATAATCAAATTTCAGTATTTTCGGTTTTAGTTAGTTATATAATTTCATTTTTTAATTCGACCGGATCGAAGGAATTTTTTCTGAGTGTTTCTTCTGAGTGTTCGATCTTTGTATTAATAATTATAACAAACTAGTAGAGTAATTTCACAAAAAATAATTGAATATCAATTCAATAAAAATTTAATTAATACAATGAATAGCGACATCTCTCGCCAGGACTGGTAGCTGTAAAGGTACTAACTGGATGATAAATCTGCAATAGATTTCTCATAGATGGCGCTACGACTAAAAAGTCTTTGAAAGACCAAGTACAAATACACGACGCAAGCACATAGAAAAATTCGTGAGGTCCGTTGGTTCGTTCCGTGGCTTAGTTGGTATAGCGTCTGGCACGGTATGCAAGAAGACGTCGGTTCGAATCCGACCGGATCGAAGGAATTTTTTCTGAGTGTTTTTTCTGAGTGTTCGATCTTTGTATTAATAATTATAACAAACTAGTGGAGTAATTTCACGAAATATAATTGAATATCAATTCAATAAAAAATTAATTTATATAATTTCAGTTATAAGCACTTTTCAGATGTATAATTATGACCCAAACAACGTGCAAAAGAACACGAAAGCAGTGGCTAATGAAATAATAAAAAATCTCGGCTAAGTAACTGTAAAAGTAATGAATAACAATACCATAAAATCTTCACGGATTTATTTTGTCTGTGAAGCGACATTCGAGGAAGTATTTCATTTTAGTAATAGAACTTGAAATAGCTACTCGACTAATTAGAAAGGTCTTCAGTGTTCACAAGCCTTGTTGAGGTCGAATTTATCATTATTGAATCTTGGACAATACCTGTAGAGTTATAATTAATTAAACAAAGATCGAACACTCAAAAATCTTTCTTCTGACACCGTGTGCTTCAAAGTTCTGGTTCGAATCCAACCGGATCGAAGGAACTTTCTTAGTGTTCAATAATTATAACAAACTAGTGGAGGAATTCAATAAAGTTCACAAGCCCCTGTCTTACAGCCTTGCAAACAGCCAAAGCCACCAACAAGCCAAATTACAATGTCTATAGTGCTTTTCCTTGATTGAATATTATTGTGCTTTTTACCTACCACCTTGTATTAACATTATGGTATGCAGTAAAGTTTTGCGTGTTGAGTTCATTGGTATAATATGATTGTTTGTTCGAACCAACGTCATTTTTACATTTGAATTAGGCACAAGTGTCCAAAAGGAGGAGAATCAAGCTTTTTATTTGTAAGTCACATCCTTATAAAAAATATACCCTATAAGTTTTCTATATGCATTTTATATACAAAATGATAAACAAGAAGGTTTCAACAACATGCTCCCAGTATCGTACGGTGCTCCAACAACAAGCAAATCAATTTCAAGCGTGACCGACTGCATACAATATAGGGTCAACCCATTCTCTGCCGTCGTTTATCTCCTGCACCACACTACACGTAATAACCCATTTGGTCGTTTTCAAACCGCAGCGGCATTTTCCACCAATTGTTACTTAACGCAAGATTGATTGTTTAAAAAGGTCAACAAATGCCAAAAGCCGTAAGGTGAGCACGTTAAACGTTGTGTTGTTTTTGTGAAGGGTTTCCGCCACTGTTATCAATACTACATATAGATCCTATCGATTCAAAGCGAAAGACGAAACCATAAAATCTATATCCAACAGCTTACTAGGCTTGGCGTTTTTGATAAGTGGGATAGAGTTACGGTGTAAAGTAAATTTTCAGTGTAAAGACATACCTTTGTCCGTAAGTACTGTGGGATAGAGTTACTGTATAGAGTAAATTTTCAGTGTGAAGACGTACCTTTGTCCGTAAGTACAAATATACTAATATAGATATATGATACTAAGATAGATATGATACTTGAAATAAATATTATAAATTCTAAATGTACAAAAATGTATATTTACAAAGAGCAATCCCTAGAGTTTCTTGCTCGTTCTTCTCTGGTAAATCAGCCTTACAAAATGGAGAGTAGAATCAATATGACGTTTTCAAGTATAATTTGTTTATCTATGAAATAAAGATTATTTGAGTTTGAGACTTATATAACGAACTTGGACTTTGACTAAGCACAGATGGAGAGCTAAGAAAGTTTTTCGTTTTTACAAGACGGATTTTGCCCAATTTTAAACAGGAAATTAAATTAATAAGTATATAAGAATAATAAATTAAGTTTGTGTTTACTTCATAATTTCTTGCTTATACTTAGACAAAGTTCGTTTTTTAAATACGAAAAACTGGCTTAGCTCACCACTTTCGCTTAGTCGAAGTATAGATTCGTTTTATCAACGAAATTCATAAGCAGGTAAAATCTTTATTAGGTTTATGCGACACCCCTTTATATATTTTTTACTTATTATAAGCTATGTATATTATAAATAAAAAAAAAGGTACGTATGTCCTTGTTGCATGATAACTTCCAAAAGGAAGTTAAGAAGATATCTGATATTCAAAGTTCACAAGTACTATAAACGCCACCTATGGCTTTTTCTCAGCCCTTTTCTGCTGTACCTGAAGCTATTGCTTTTAAATTGGTCCTATCAACCGATTCGCAGCGTAATGTCTCAATTTGCCACTAACAACCCAGTACGTGTGCAAAAATTACTTTTTATATGCAGCACCCTTACATTAGCAAAAATGGAAGTCTTTTAACACCATTAGGAAACCACTCCAGAATAAAAATCGACAAATCTTTGCTCAAGTTAAAAATAAAACAGCATTATCATTCACTCTTTATAAATGTCACTGTTGGGCTTTAGTTTCCTGTTAGAAGAGGGTTTAAACTATGTTCCGCCATCCTAACCCTATTCGATTTGGGGTTTCATACGTTTTGTTAGCATAGCTATTTAACACCCGAAATGGACGTAATTGAGAAATTAATATTATAATAAGTGTATGGGAGGATACACTTATTATAATATTCCGCTCAAGTCAAGTATCAGTGTTTGCTGAATATTTTGTAACAAGAAGTACAATTGTCAACTGTATTATGACCCCTTATTTCAACCATATCGTAGGACTTAGTAAACTGACTGAGTAAACACACACACACACTATCACAATATAATTTCTTAGAATCTTCGAATACAGGGCTCTCCCTGTTTAGGCCGTTTAGTCTCCTTCTTCTCACAAACATTAATATTTTAGTTCTATTCCATTACTTTTTGTTTATTAATTACGTTTTTAAAATACACATAAATCAAGAAATAACCTACGGGACCTTCACTCCTGTGCGCAAAAAATGCTTCACAAGAATTTAAAGTAAAAGGAACAAAAGTCTTCTAATACGTGTTGCGGTGAGAAGGCGAGAGATGCCCTGCGGACGACTCGATAACCACCTACCCGCTAACTGCTAGAATTACTTTGCACGGTCTATTATTCCTGGTGGGACTACATGAAGCACTGCATAAATACAATGCATAAATTTGTAATAAGATTGTAACGGTGTTTAGGCGACCAATATTCAACATCATAATGGCACAAGATATTATGTGAGTGATTATCATAGTATAAATCTCTTTCGAATTCGTTACTAATTTAAAAGTAAATTTACAACTTTGGCTAAGGAACGCCCATTGTTAATCTCCGCAACATCCTCAACGTACACAGAGCGTGTATAATGTATTGGGCGTGTATGTTCAGAATTTAAGCAGTTCACAGAGTTCGTGGGCTGCAAAGTGATTAAGCGATCCATTTAAAACATTTTCGGGCACCCGTAGTGATGGAGTTCGTGAAATGTTTACAAACATTAATCTTCTTAATTTCGATACACATTTACACAATGCACCAGTTTCGAATAATTTTCTATCAAATGGTAATGACATTGTTCAGTAGCCTCGTCAAGGAGATTACAAAAGAAGTCTACTCTCATCCCTTGGAGTATGGGCCGGGCACGAGTATGGGCCGGGCACTGGTATAGGAAGCCACATGTGCTGACACACTTGCCCCATCCCATCTCCAGCACACCAGCATATGGGCTGGCTCCGCAGCTGAGTTGGCGGAAAAATAAAAAGTAATAAGTACCAGGATCTCGGCTTCGACTACCTATTTACAGCTTTTGAAGTCGCAACCCTTGGCACGTGGGGTCACAGAGCCCTTCATCTGTACAAAATGTTATCTAAAATATTAATAGACTGTCTGGGAAACCCAAGAGCCATGCAAAGGTGGAACGCTGCCAGCATCTTGGGCACCTTGCCGCGGGGGCCCAATTTTATTCATATAGTTTAAAAATCCTAGTTTTACTTTCTAGTATTTAAGCTTTTATTGTACCTTACTTGTATATTATCAAAATAAAAAATAATAATCAATTAAAGAAGTCCTATTTTTTCATTTCGGCCTCAAAAAGCTAGTTTTTGAAAAATGTAAGTGTTATTTACTTGCCGTGCAGGTAGAGAAAAATGCAACAGCATAAACGTGAAATTCAATGTATTTGCGAAAACAGACTTTAAGTACTCCTGCTATGAGATCTTTTATAGCAAATAGGTTTGTTTGAATAGAAACTGCATTTTATTGTTTCCTGAACCATGTGTACGGCACACAACTCGTATCAGGTTCATTTAGGTGCCGGCCTCGGCAGCCATTACTCAGTCTGTAATCAGTTCGTCCCGATACTTGCGCGTCCTGGTGAAAACCTATTTGCATAATTTTAAACAGTCGCTGTGCTCACAATCGCCTTTTACGTGCTATCTTATGAAAATAAATTATGTGCGAATCCCCCTTATAGTAATTAACCTTTGTGGAATTTCCAAA